GCCAGCCAATATTGACAATAATTTCACTGAGAAAATCGAAAAGATAAAAAAAATCCTCGGGAGCTGGTCGGCCAGAAGACTCACACTTATGGGTAAAATTGCCATTCTAAAAGCTCTAGCAGTATCTCAGATTGCAGGATATGTTGGTTATACTCGCGGCCACCTTCACGAACGCGTTGATGGACACAAACAGAAATCGTCGTCAATTTGTAAACATTATCTTAGCGAACATAACTCGGACGTACCACCTTTTCTTTCAGAACAATTTCACGTGCTCACTAAAGGCTCTAACAAATTTGATGGCCTAATTAAGGAGATGCTGTTGATAAGAAAACTCAAACCATCCCTAAACGTGCAGGCGGACTCGATTCGCGCAAAGGTATTCACTTGAAGAACTTGTGATCCTTCGTTATTATGCTAATTTGTAGAGACTATAGAAATCAAATCTTCGCATTACTTATTCATTTTGCCTCGAGAATGGTGTGATGATGATACCGAAACGTCGGCTTTTAACGTTAATTATAAGTCGCGTGTTTTAACTAATCCTTGTCAAGTTATTTAAAATTGTTTATATAATAATACGTCAAGGTGCTCCCTTGGGTCTAGCTGTAGAGATGAACTAATTTGTATTCAACTTTGGGCTTGTGAACTCGCATAATTAACTGACTAACAGTGCGTGAAAATGACAAGACTTTAATCGTTTATAGATAAGAGAAAACAGTTCTGTAATTGTCAGACAAAATTGAAATAAAGACTTTTTAGCTCCACTTTGTGTATGTGTTTTGTTGATGTATCCGATTTTTTTTAGCGCTAAATGAGATATAGTTAGCCGTTTCTCACATTGCTAGGTGATCGCTCCTATTTTCCTTTTAATAGACATTCCGGTAAACCGGGCCCAAGTTACTTACCAGGCAAGTCTAGGCAAGCCTATTGTTCCTATTGTGTTCTTCCAAAAGAAAAGAAACGACTACCCACTTAATTATATATGGAGAAAGACACTTATTACGCATGGAGGAATCCACTTTTTGCGCGGGAATCCTGCATATGTGACGAAGGGAATCCAAAGGGAATCAACCAAAACGGCCAAATCATCCCTCTATGACTACTCAGATATATTTTTTAGGACGGTCATTGTGTACGCACTTGCCAAAATACAGCGTGACTGGTAAAAATAACCCAGGATACTACCAATTAGGCCTCCTAAAAGAGAGGTTTTATTCAACATAGATGGGATATAAAATCGAAATAAGGAGAATGCGTGTCTAAGGGTTAAGTAATGTTACTCCTAGAACTAGTCCAGTAGCTGTTGATTGAATAGAAACGAAAACCTGTCAAACTGGTTTAGGTTAATTGCAGATGATGATCAAATAGTATCTCATGATGCATTTTTTCAGAAGCATCGCGCAATATCGAAGTCATGGCAGATTTCATCATGAAATAAGGTCGCTTTCTCGTTGGCTTTTTTCTCATTTGTGTTCCAGTAAAAGTAAGAAATTACATTATTTTGTTATTTGACATGATTTCTCCGATCTGCAATGGCTTAAAAGCGAAGTTTTCATATAGAAACATTTATTTTCATTGTTTCACTTGGTCTTCGTATGTCAAAGTGTTCAGTGACTCACAACAAGGTCACCAATATTCACGATTTTTTGGATTATAAGTTGAAGTCTTCCAAATGTGGACCTCACGCCAGCAAAATGAAGTCCTGAATACTGTGCAGGCTACGAAGTACCCAGAAGTACCCACATTTTGAAGACTTTTTTATTAACCAAAGATGGCTGAAATTTCCTATCTTTTATCACATTTCAACGCCATCATGTGTGATAATATATGTGTAAAGCCTGCTGAAGGCTACAATCTGTTGGGCGCTTTCGAGAGTTTATTCCGAAGCAATCACTTTGTAAGTGTCTTTTCATAGTGGTTATTTTTAAAGGAATTTGACTATAAGAATATTTTAATTAGAACAAGGAGCGGTAAATAATGGTGTGTTTCAGTGTGATAGGAATCCAACGACGTAAAATGACTGGAACAGCTAACTCTAATGATCTAGAGATACCAGGTGGAGAGAAAAGTCGTATTTATTTTCTAAGATTAAGCTTTTCAACGGAAAACATTGATGTTGGTGATCTATCAGTGTCAGAGGGAAGCTCGGCAGCTGCCGAACAGCTCAAACCAAAGGGAGAAACAAATAGAAGATGTCACTGGAAAATTCAGATATGATCGTTTTGGATATTTTTGAATGGTCCATTTATATGTTACTGTTTTCAAATAATCTGTCATTTTCCAATGCGTAATAAAGTTTGACAAGATTTTTCTGGACTAACAGGCTTTCATCAGAAAATTCTAGTGACATGTGCATAGCTAAGCATGTGACGTAACAGAACCAAAACGTGACCAAAATGGTGCTCCATCGAAGCCACCGCTCAAAATAAGCTGCCTCCTCATCACGAGGCTCACTTGAGTACGATAAAAGTTTACACCACTCGACCAACCAACCGATCAACCGACCACCCTTGAGTGCTCCCTATAACTTCGTGAATAGGATTCACGAGTTAAAAATGACAACCCAGAACAAACAAAATTTAATAAACAGAAGTAATATTGGAGCAAGTAGCTGATGAGGGTTTGCTTTTGTTTTGTATAGGAAGTGTGCATTTATTTACTGAGTCGTTTGTTTCTTGTCTTTTACCTTATCATTTGTCGTTTTGGAGACAAGGCAACTACTAGTGCCAGTCCCTCCCGAATACTGAATTGCTTTGCTTTGTTATTTTCTAGTTTTAACCCATGGTTCAGCACTTTTTGCCGTTTCAAGATGTAACAGTGGCAGTATTTCGAGCGTTCTGATATTGCCTCTACCTGCTGACCGTAGCTGACAGCCAAATAGGGAAGAAACATCATGAAGAGGACTTGAAACAAACACAAAAGGATACGCCTATTTTCACGAAAAAGGTTGGCAACTACGGCAAATGTGAGTTTTCTAATTTCTTCCTGTTCCAACGAGGCCAAAATGATAATTAGTGTTTTCATAACATGGATGATAGCGGACTGCAATTTGGCTGTCAGAGTTTTATTATCCTCTTAGTTGTGTTCTATAGATCAATTCAAAAACGACCCATTTTTGGCTAGCTAGCAGACACTGAGTTTAGGTCAGGTAAAATAAGAAAAAAGTTTGAGTGTTGCCCGTTGCTACTTAACAAAGTTTATGGTTTTCGAAGATAGTCCTGTAACAGTATTGTGTTGTATCGCATACAAAAACGAACTTCGCTCGTTTAATTTTGAGGAGTTTGCGAGCTTCACAAAATGGTCAAACTTTGCTTACAAAAATGGTGTCCGAGGGGCTTAAGTGAACGGATGCTTGTATCTCTAGTACAAGAGCAGTGAAGAACCTGTTTATTACATTTGTCCATTACTCCACCTCACCTATCTATGGTGTTAGTATGAGCTTATTCTGTTGACTCCCTTCCATTGACATTTTTAACATTTTGCCTGGTTTTCTCTGACAACCACTCTTAACTATTTTGTGTTCTTATGTGATTTAATGGTGATCATTTGATCCTGGTCGATTACCTTTTCAAGACTTTATGCATCGATTAGGTTTTCGCGTGGGTCTTCGTCTTCGAGGTCTACGTTTTCCAGTGGGACTTCGTTTTCGAGTAGGTCGGAGTCTAGTTTGCGAGGCGGTCTTTTCGTTTTCAAGTGGGTCTTCGTTTTCAAATGGTTCTTCGGTCTTCATTTTCGATACTACCAATTCACTTTTCTCCTTAGTTTTTTATATTTCATGACCTTCTCCGTGTGTTGATTACTTGATAGATCATGTTTACATTTCTTTAGCATTTGATATTTGGGATCTGCTTTTTGGCATACTGTATTAAGCATTTCGTCAGCATTTCTTTGGTAACTTTTTGGCATGTCTATGGCACTCACGGTTTCCACCAATGACTAAGGAGCTTCTTTGCCCAAAGCTGTACGTGTTCTGACCATAGGAATTGAAACCCCACACAGTCGAAGCATCTGACTGCATGTGCACTTGAATATTCTAGAAACTAGTTATCAGCGCAGTCTTTCTACTTAACGCAAAGATCACTTTAAGCTCATTAACGCTTTTTAGTTGTAAAATAATTTGCTTTCTCATGTGGCTGTCAAACACTTTCCAAACAATAGTGCACTTTCTTGTTAATAGTTAAGTTTTCCAGAAGGCTTAGTTTTACTTAAACCGTGGTTTTTGACTATTATTTTAATGGACCTGGAGGGTTTCCTGTAAGTGCTTTAAATAAATGTTTTCATATGCTGTTCACAAGGAGTATGTATCGGTTAGCACATGTACTACGAGCTATTAAATACAGAATACAGGAGTTTATGGCTAAATTAAACTGCTTTAGAATGCGCTTTTGCTAAACAATAGCTAAAAATTATTTTAATAAATGGACTAAGCTCGAAGCTGCACGTGCTCTGACCTAGCTAAGTAATTTAAACGCAGTCGGAGTATCCGAAACTTGTTTATACCGGCTCAGCATTTCCTGTAGAAATTGACGTTAGAAGCACTGATAAATGGAATCACCGACAAACAAAAGCCTACTGGGCAAAAATTCAATTCAGCCAGCTTTTACAGGCAGGGAAGTTGCTTTTGACCTTTCTCACCATGGTAACGCGTTGGTCACGCTCTACGTCCAATTTTTACGCTCTGATTGGTCAAAATTTGACAGGTGAGTTCGACAGTATTTTGAGGATCCTTTATGATTTTGTTGCAAATTCAGTAAGAATTAAACACTGAAAGCCAAATTTTGTCTTTTTCTTGGTATTTGCTGGTGCAGCTACTTCATTTACTGCTAAAATTTTATCTTTTGAAACTGTCACGAAACAAGAAGTCAGTTTGAATCCCGTCTCAAAACAGTGAATATCCAAGGATATTTCGAGTTACAGGAGCCAATCAGAATACGCAGAAACTGTTGTTCATTGATTTGGTGAATTCTAAATAAGGCTATTAACTCGATTTAAGATTTGTTCCACTCTTGGACTGTTTGCAAATTATTTTCCTCTAAAATCACTTCGCCTTTCCCTCAAAAGTCACATGAATGTGCCCTAATGTGTTTGATTTAAATTATAAATTTATTGTAGGAGATTCCCTTTTAGCCCCGGCGAAATATCTTACTTGACGTATGTAATGGTTGTTAAACTTACTCAAGCATGTTTTTGTTGTTCTTGCAATAACTGTCCCATTTCCAAAGGCAGATACAACCGGACATACTTCTATTTTCTCGGGCTTTCTTTCGCCTTTCTTTGTTACCAAGGTGTTGTAATGGATCTCCAAGGAAGTTTCTTTTCCAACATACACAAGATCATCAAAAATAACCTCATCGAGTCCTGTTATATTCACCAAATAGTACTCTGCCTGAATATGTGGTAACCACTCCATCTTTGCTGCTTTTACATCTGTTCCTCTGATTGATATAACTGGTAATTCGGCTACAATTAAACATTTAACAGAAACAATTGTCAGCAGACAAATATCTGATGATCTAATAAAAGTTTGCACAACACAATACATTACCCTCAAGATAAATCAATACTCAGTAGTAAGTATAATTCAGCTACAAGACATGAACTTTCAAACCACGTTGTTGTTATTGTATTTAGATCACACCAATATGTATTACCGATCCAAGGCAATTAACTCAAATACATACACCGACGAAAATATAGCGTAATAACGTCAATCATCAAGAAGCGATAAGAAAATACCCTATCCTTCGACCCTAAGTAATCAGTGGACAGGAGTGTGATGTGCATAAAAAACTTGATTTGATAAACACACTTGAAAGAGATAGGGATGTCAAATGTCTTTTTTTCAGTTCAGTGAATTGTCTTTCTATCCCTTTGACATAAATGTGTACCATAATTGTTCAGTTGCCTTGAGTTATATGATGGTAAATGCACAATAAAGTATTTACAAGTCTATACTTACAAATTTCTTTCATAACAGTGATAACTGTTTCAATTGGCTCGGTGGAGGGATTGTCATCTGAAGCAGTGCAAGTGTAGGTTCCAAATTTATCATCTTTGTCAAGAATGATGGTCAAAATAGTCTCGCTCCCTTGCTGCAACTGAGTTCCGTTTTTCTTCCAGGTGACCTTACGTGGGGGTGGATAAGAACTGACTGGGCAACAAATTGACAGAGTCTGACCAATTCGTGCAGAGTGGGACACACTTGGGCAAAATGCGTAATCTTTTTTGAGAGGATCTACGTAACCAGAAATTTAAAGAACAAACCATTGTCATGTGTATAATTACTTTGGTTAGGGTAAACATTGCCTAACTTGAATTTTTCTAAAAAACTGTATTGCTAAAAACCAAAGTATGCAGTTCCTACAGTGATAATGTTTGGAAGGACAGCTACCAGTTTGGGTCCTTTCAGAAAAACAAATAAATAAAATATCAAGGTGTGAAGCTTAAGTAATATACATTTTTAAGGTAGGCTGAACCTATTTATACGCGTGATGGTTATGTTTTTGTATCGCGTTTTTCAGCAGGAATTATTTCGGCATCCTCAACAATGAATGGTCCAGCGTCAAGAAAATTTTATTTATTTTCTTGTAGGTATAAAAACGTCAGGGATATCGGCGTACATCTAAAACTGCATTTTCGCCAAAAAAATGTAAATAACTTTCAAATCCCATGACAGATTTTCCCCTAACTTCAGCAAATAAGCCTCAGAGCTCTCTAGAAGAAGTCAATCGTGACCATACAATTCGCTGCACAAAATGCTGGTGAAATTTAACGTTACTGAATACTACGCCACCCGGTTGGCTCAGTTGGAAGAGCGCTGGTCTGCTGAGCGGGAGGTCACGGCTTCGAACCCCGGCTGGACCAACACTCAGGGTCTTTAAATAACTGAGAAGAAAGTGCTGCCTTTGTAATAATTCTATCTTTTTGCTAAATGTGCACGTGTAAATGAAACTTGAAAACAATGCCATTGAACAATGAGGACGCTCGCTTGTAAACACAAAATCTGGGGGAAAAATTGGTTATGTTTGGGGCCCTTTTTAAAAGCCTTCCCTGATTTCAATGTCCTTAAAACTTGCAGGGAATATTTCTTAACGATTGATCTCGGGATTGTCGAATTTATAAAAAAATTTATCGAGCGGTTTTTGGAAAAATGCGAAATTTTTAGGCATGGACCAAATTACCTCCAAAAACTGTATCAAAAGCAGCTGAATGCAAGTTAATAAAATTCTTCTTACTCGCGATCGCCCAGAGCAATTCCCCTCTTTTTTTGTAAGCAGTTTTCAATGGAATCAAACCACTATGAGATGAAGCTGCGATTCCAAAGCTTATCATTTTCTTAAAATAATAGCGAATTTTGCGGCTAGCATGCTATTTCACTGCTTTGATGGTTCTTAAAACTGCATTTCAAAATATTTCGAAAACGCTCCCATAGAATTTCTTCAAACTTTGCCATAATGGAAGCAATTATGGCAGGTACATACTCCCTTAAGCGATTTCTTCAAAAAACTCCTGGTACAGAGAAAATTAACGATAAATGAAAAACGCAATGGCCTCATTACGTTGCCATGGCGACTCCGATTGCAATAAAACCCAGATCATAAGAAATTTTCATCTTTATATAATACAGTTGTGGTAACCTTTTTTCCATATCTTTACTCATGCCGACGTAGTTAATGCTCAAACTTGGGAGGTATCAACCCCAAAAAATCCAGTCGAGCCACCTTAAAAATTCCTTGAAAGTCTTAAAAAGGTTCTGTAATCTTTACAGTTTCTAATAGTTTCTGGTAGATTGTTAAAATACTGAGTAAGTTTAATGACTAGAAGTTCTTTAATCTAACCCCGCACTCAGCATAAAGTTGTTTTTCTTGTACTGATAATTGTATTTTCTGCAGGTTTCTGATTACTTAGTTTCTTGCAATAAAGCTTTGGGCGAGAATACCCTTTCAGATACATGTAGGAGATAGCCTGTGAGCACACTTTCACTATTTGTGTGTCGACTTTCACAAATGTGTTTGCGTAGCATTTCAAGGTTAAATGAATTTATTTATTTTCTTCTATCTCGGAGACATCAGCTTCAAGAGCTACACTGTAAATCCGAGGTTAAATAAAGGTGATGTGTGATGTGACCAGCATGTTGTGCAACGAGTTGTATGGTCACGATTGACTTCAAACTTGTAGATGTAAAACTAGAGAGCTCTGAGGCTTATTTGCTGAAGTTAGGGGAAAATCTGTCGTGGGATTTCAAAGTTATTTACATTTTTTTGTAACAATGCGGTTTTGAATATTTGCCAATATCTCCTAAATAGGCTTGGATAAATTCTGCCGGGAGAATTTCGAGCAGAATAAGGTTTTTTCGACGGACTTTGAGCAGAAAAAGGGAAAATTTAAAATTAAATAAAAAAGAAATGGAAAATACCTTGGGATTATTTGATTATTTAATAACTACAACGCACTCACATTAAAAGTAAGATGAATTACAATTTCGCCACCGATAATGAATATATAATTAGTTTTTAGGGGTTAGGCCCAGGCTCCCTTCTATGTTTGCGAAAATTTTTTCAGATACCGAGCAGAATTTGAACAGAATAAGCAATTTTTACGAGCACTGCCGGCAGACAGAATAAGCCATTTTACGAGCTGAATTTATCCAAGCCTACTCCTGAAGACGTTTTTATACCTAAAAGAAAATAAATAAATAGTTTGACCATTCTTAGTTAAGGACGCCCCAAATGAGAGAAATCGGTTAAATCTTTTCTGCTGAGAAAAGCGAATAAAAAACATAACCATCTCGCATATAAATAGAGTCGGGCCACGTAAATTTTAGTGGCAAACTTTTATGGTAGAAAAGCTACCACAAATCGCTGTATTTTCACCTTATTTTTGCCCACTGCCTGACAGCCAAGTGTTTTTTTTTTTTGAGGAATTCAAATTAGAGAAAAACTGTAAAATCAATTCTGCTCATCAAAACGTTTTTGGGGCTAGTTGAAATGACGTTTGGGTTAGTAAATGCTAGCTTCAGCTTTCCCAAATGGCACACTGCAAAAATGACTTTCTTTGCACCCTGAGCTGAGTTCTAGAAATTAAACATTTAGGGGTCCCTGAGGCTGACTGTAGGTCAATTTTAGACACTTCTCAAAACCTACAATTTCGGGGTACCAACAATTTTCAGTCAAATCAAAGCTCGCTTTTTATGAAAGAGTAAAAAGGCAAAACATATTGCTCAAAGAAATATTTGTTGTTTGTGAAATTATTATTAAGTTTATGTTCTTAATAGAGTACTGAACTGATGACGTCAATTTTTGGGGGTAATTTTTTTGGGTCAACCCAAAAAAATTTAGAAGGGTTTGTATGGAGTTTTCTAAGCATAACTGAGCTACGATCTCAGAGACAATTTGTCCCGAAATGCTCATTTTTGGCAAGTAGGCCTCTTGGACATTGGTCTTTCAGAATATTCTGACAAATCGCATGATTTCAGAAATTTCATTTTTATGACGTCACACTTTAGTACTCTATTACAGGCATGTAAAGGAAAACTGAAAACGGCCCAAGTTTACGTTGATTAACTTCAGTGCCCACTATCGAAATTAAAAAATTCTAAATTGAGTAGAAAGTTTAACTGTCGCTCCCGACTCCCCTTAGGAGTAATTTGTTTGTTTATCGTCACGTGACTCAAAAACATTTTTGCCTTGGTCGAGTTTGTTATCGCGAGCGAGGATAGTATTTGAGTATATTCTACCTGTATTAGCGTTTTGAAGCCGAACAGTTCGGTAAATTAGCCTTTTTTTCTACATTTGAGAATTGGTATCGTAACTTCGAGTGATATTTACCTCTGTAATTTGCCAGAAAACCACATACAAGTTTCTCCGAACCGACCACGAGGTTTGCGCCCAATGTCTTCGCTTGCTGTCGTTTGAGTAAGATTGTTATCTACAAGTTGATACAAGATTTACATTGTGCAAGTAGTGCGTTTTTAACGTTCTAAATAAAGTTGGCTGAAATTCTTCAAGTCTGCCGTGATTCGAACAGGTTTCGAACCAGAGCTTCATTTGGTCGATTCTGTGTGAAACATGTCTACTCGCTCACGTCCTGCCGCCCGAAAGGGAACTCGAGTGCGAACGTATTCTACACGGAGAAATGAAGAAGAGGATCGAGCTGAAAGGGCTGAGCAATTGAAGAGATCCAAAGCTGGATTAATCGGGATGCTAAGGAAAATGCATGAGGAAATTGCTAATTTGCAAATCAAAAGAGGAGATATATGGTCAGAGGATTTAGAAGTAAAGTTCGCGGTGTACGAAGAAACATGGAGGAAGTTTGTGAAAGCCCATGAATGTTTTATGGAATTAACAGAGCCAGGATTTAAAAGGAACGGTGCCCAAACCATATACTACGAAGAGTTTGCAAGGAAGATGGAATTGGACGAGATTGTGAAACAAATGCGCGTTGCCTGTGGATCAAAGTCCATTGAAGGAAGCATGAGGTCACGTGAAGGAAAGGGCGCGACAACCGTGAGTACTGAAATCAGCTGTAACTCGGTTTATAGTGGGTTTGACGCTCGTAGAGAAAAGATGATTTTGACAAAAGTTAAAGTAGAACATTTGAACAAAAGGCAAGAGCTTCAACTCATATTAACTAAACTTAATCACGCACGGGAATTAATGGAGGCCAAAATGGAAGCCGAGAAGGCCTATGTCAGTTTTAGTATTCTTCATTCTGAAAGTGGGGCCGGTGCGACTGACCATGAGACACCTCGTTCAATAAAAAAAAAAAGTTTGATTTGGAGGCCTTAGGGGATGTAGATTGCAAGGAAGACGTCTTGTATCATTCAGATATTAAGCCTAAACTTGAAGAATTTCCACGTGCTCTTACCTCTTTATTACCAGTTTCCCCAGGCCGTGTATCAAAGTTACCAATTGTTGGGGGAAATGAGCAACCAGGATCGTCTCCGCAGGGAGATGCTGCATTAAACCCACTGGCAAGCTCACCTAACAGAGTTTGTTGGGGGACGAAACACGAATACGAGCAGTCGCCCTCAATCCAGGAAGTTCAGGCCCCAGTAAAGCAATCACCAGAAGCGTTTGATGCCAGGGATCAAATAGTTAAAACTTTGCGCTGGCAAAGTTATTGAAGCTGGTGGAAGACCAAAGTTCTCTGATTTGTTAAAGTTTGTGAAGCACAGAGCAAAGCTTGTAAACAATGAATTTGGGGATCTGATTGCGAGTCTGGAAAGCGAAGAGAAAAGGGGAAGAACTCTAACAAGGATGACCACCTTAGCGACCAATGTCGACCCTGATCACAGCGAAGAACAAAGCAGTGCAAGAAGAGAAATTGGTACAAACAGGAGCTGTCCAGTATGTTCACGACAACATGGGCTGTGGAGGTGTGAGAAGTTTAGAGACCTTTCGAGCCGGGACAGAGTAAAAACAGTACTGAACAAGAGACTGTGTTTCAAGTGCCTTGATGGTGGGCATTTCAAAGACCATTGTCCTAAGGAAACATTCAAGTGTCAAGTACAAGGTTGTGTCGAGGATCATAACACTCTGTTACACCCCACCCCTCCCACTTTGGAAGAAAACCCTCAGCAGACCAGTGCAGCTATGGGTTATACAAGTGCAACACACAGAACCAATCAAGATGGTCAGAGTGGTGGCAGAGCTTCTGTTACTGCAGCAACTGGGGCCGGTGAAAGGCGTGTCTGCTTAGGGGTCGTTCCCCTTAAAGTCAGGGCAAAGGGAGGAGGAAGAATTGTGGAGACTTATGCCTTATTGGACAGTGGTAGTGAGGTAACCTTACGCAAAGAGCAACTCTCTCTTGAGCTTGGATCGGATTAAAACGTCATTATGAGTTGCAAGGGGTGACGGGGACCAGGAAAGTTGAAGGGCATGTGATAGACATTGTTGTGATGTCCATGGATAAAAAAGTCTCAGAAGAGCTGACGAATGTTAGGACTGTTGAGCAGATACCCGTGTCCTACACTTGCATTCCACGAAAGGACGACATTTCGAATTGGCCTCATTTGAGAGACGTCGAGTTGTTGGAGTCCTGTGTGTCAGATGTTGGTCTAATAATTGGTCTTAAGAGCGGCTGTCCGTAAATATCGCCTGGGGGTGTGCAAAACAAAACAATCGAACATCCCCAAACTTTGTCAGAATATACGTGTAGGTAAACTATTTCTAGAAAAATAACTTTCAGTTCGATTGCATTTTTATTTTACGTTTACTGTGACCGAGTCGGTTCGGAGGCTCTCAGATCAGTTTTCACGGGCTCAAGACCATATATTACTTAAAAATCGTTTAAAAATTAAAGAAGTAAGAAACTCTGCCTCTGAAAATCTTAAAAGAGAGAGTACAACTCAACCAATAGTTTCGATGTGAAATTTTCCTATTCGACAGCAAATCTAATATTTTTCGGATTTTTAATAATTTTACTTATTTTACCGATTTTTGACAGACATAAAATTGGCAAATTTCAGACACAAAAATCCCTACTTGGTATACGGCTTTGAGCCATAACTTACCTACTGATAGAAAGAGCAAGGTGTCTTCCTCAAATAAATGCAATAAAATTTTTGGGCAATCCTGCAGGGAGAATTTTTGAACGCCAAACAAAAGCGACCCTTGATTTCAAAACACGCCATTTTGTCACGACATTCGAAGGGCAAAAACAACGATACTCCTCGTTAAAAAGACATTGCCGAGACAATTTCTTTTCAAACAGCTATATGCCTTGTTCTGTGGATTTTGTTGGGAACCGTTTGCTAACAAGTGACATTTTGCGTCTTCCAATATCTATACTCTTCGTAAGTTGTCGCGGTCGAAAGCCCATCGAAATGTCATAGCTTTTTAGGACTCAAAATAATTCACACAATTCAATATGGACTTGTAACTTTCCACTGTCTTCCCATCCCGGGCCAAATACTTGTATATCACCGAGAGGGAATGTCACGTTTGCGTGACACAGAACAGGAAGAGCAATGCACTTCAAACCGGAAGCTGACTGAACAATTTAAGTAGCAGGCCTAGACAGTCATTCAAAACTATCCCAGCCTGAAACTATCCCGTCCTAGGACGTCTCTCTTTTTTTTCTTTATATTTTAGCTGATTAGATCTTTTTGCTAGAGATCCAAAGTTGACAACCAGCGGGATATTCGTTTACGGCTTCTGGAGATTATTTCTTAAAGTTTCGAAGTGGGCAACAAATTCAATAGAAACGTTTATAATTGTAAACAACAATCTTTAAAAAGTTAACTAGTTAAAACATGAGAGACTGAATGAATGACTGGATGACTGAACACACTATGACAACCTTCCACTTCCGGTTTAAGAAATAAACTGCAAAAGGCGTGGACGAAGATCCTGCGTGGTGGTCGCCATCGTTTGATCTCTAGAAAAAAAGATCTAATCAGCTAAAATAGTGAGAAAATAAAACTGAGACGTCCTAAGACTACTGCAACGTGTATCACTCGAGTACACAACGCTGTCAGCAGCTGCAAGATTGACAGGAAGCTTTGTCGCTAAGTTTGCTATGATTTTGTCATCCACAAAGAGGACATCTTAAGCTCTTCTAGTGAGACTGCATTCGGCCTTAATCCTTGAACCTGAAACGGACAGCAGAGGCGTACAGCGTGCTGCCTTTAATGTACGTACTGTTGTACCATATTTGGAATATTATCACAGGATGCCCATCCATTATGGAAATGTGGTCAATCTGGGACATCCTAAAATCCATAAAAATAGTGAAATTATGCCAAAAATGTGCTAACTCCAAAAAGCTGCTCAGAATCTAAAGTAGTGCAAAATCGTACAAGTTGCTAAAAGTTACCGAGCGGAATCTGTCTAAGCCTAGATTTAAATTTAGCGGAAACTTTGTTTTTCTTTTGGTTGTGTTTTACACCTAGTGTAACCCCAATTCCACACCCCGACTCCCTGCCCCTAGGCTTCGGTAGATTGTGCTCGAAAAAAAAGCATATTATGCTTTTAGCAGTGCTCATATTTTTAAGAAATTATGCCAAAATTATGCTACTTTCTGAAAATTATGCTCTCTGTCACTGAAATTGTGCTACTTAGATTATACACTGATTTTAAGGAAATTAAAGATCATCAGTAGCTTAACTCTATCAATTTTGACTTTAATGAACATTCATATAGTCCACCTTCCAATCTTACAGTCCTTAGCATCGCAAATACGCATGTGCGCACCTCGAAAAGCCAAATGATTAACAAATGATACCAAAATCAACCGTTTCTGGGTTCTGAATCTGGGTCAGAAAGTTATAGCCCGCATACTTGTTTAAAGCTCTCGGTACGGCACTGGAAGTGGTGGAAGTGAATGTACTCAAAGACGACGCCATCTTTGATCTGAGGCCTGAGGGTGGCCATAAGCGTGGTGGCCTGAGGAGAGTCTCAGTCTCTAAGATATGCACAGGGTGACTTTTGCCGCCTGCCGGACCATATTTGACCAAGAGCCTTGGCACAGACCTCAATATTTTCCAAAAACAATACAGAAATAAAATACAAACTGAATTATTCTAGAGCTATGATGGGTTTCTTTGTTTTCAACGCTTAAAAGCTCGGATTATGCTAGCAGTGCTAAACTGAAATAAAAGCTCAAAATAATGCTCGTTCTGCTGAATTATGCTTAAAATTATGCTAGCACAATCTACCAAAGCCTACCTGCCCCACCCTACCTTCGCACGCGCACAAGCTGTGAGACACAGTCCCTCGTTGGCTTGGATGCCAGAAGATTTAGCAGTAAGACCATTGACTATTTTCCAATTCCCCATAATACACTCTGTCTGCCCCCCAAATTTTGCATAACTTATTGCTTTAAAATGCTCTTGGGAAAATGCAATACTCCCAGGAGCATTTAAAAACAATGGTTTATGCAAAATTTGGGGGGCAAACAGAGTGTATTATGGGGAATTGGAAAATAGAGAATTGAACTACTAAGTCCCAAAAGGGTAAATTTGCTTATCAGCTTATCAGATTTTCTGTTATTACCCAATGAAATTGGAAGAATACTGTGCTGCAGAATGTTAGAAGAGAGTAGGTGGACATGCTTAAAATCTCAGTAATTAGTTACAAGAGCACGATTAGTTTTAGGGGGTGGGGGGGGGGGGGGGGTTCGCTGCTTCATTTTTCATGATTCTGTCCAAGATTGTAGCTCCACGGGTGCTCCTATAATATGATGATCTTTTGGCTTAAAATAAGCATGCCAGGATAATCGGACGAGATATCCCAAAATAGTGGATGACGCATGTGGCATAATTTTTTGTTTATCAAACGTTTCGTCAGTCTCCTGGTTTCGTAATCAGTTCGTCGTACTTTCAACCAGCCAACGGACATATCTTTTTTACTTTTAGATTTTAGTTTTAGGAAGGATTTATTGCATTATGCAGCACAAATCTTACTTACTCCTACCAGAACTTTTCAGACACAGAGCTGCTGACATTCCCTCCCCCTCCCGCTGGAGCATCACCCTACCCTTGAACAAAAGTGAGTAACGCATTCTCCTTCCCGCTCCGAGCAGTTACGGTGACCAGTCACTAGCCGGTTATATATACCGCACTAGCCGGTTATATATTTCCAAAATATCTTCATTTCCTAAGAGATAAGTATTATATTTAGTCTTAATACATCATTATGTAAGTCAACGTCGGTAAATCTGTTCTTTTATGTGCATGAATCCAATTGGTAGTAAGTTTTGAACCTAGGGTTTTGAAACATATGATCCGAATGCTGTCAAACATTAACCGCCAGTTTAATAAAATTAGGCTTTCGACTGCCAACGGGCGCGTTGTAAGTGAAATAATTAGGCAAAAGAAGTGCAAATAAGTCGAGTCTAATCAATATTGCTCAAGAGCATAGAGCTTTTGGAGGAATCTGGCCAATAGAGCATTGTTATTGATTTAACCGCCTTCGAATGTCGTGACAAAACGGCGTGTTTTGACCTCAAGGGTCGCTTTTGTTTGGCGTTCAACAATTTTCCCTGCAGGACTGCCCAAAAATTTTATTGCATTTATTTGAGGAAGCCACCTTGCTCTTTCTATTGGTAGGTAAGTTATGGCTCAAAGCCGTATACCAAGTAGTGATTTCTGTGTCTGAAATTTGCTAATTTTATGTCTGTCAAAAATCGGTAAAATAAGTAAAATTATTAAAAATCCGAAAAATAATAGATTTGCTGACGAATAGGAAAATTTCACATCGAAGCTATTGGTTAAGTTGTACTCTCTCTATTAAGATTTTCAGAGGCAGAGTTTTTTACTTGTTTAATTTTTAAAAGATTTTTAACTAATATATGGTATTCTCAAACTCATTAATAATTCATAAAGAAAATTCAAAGGAAATTAATGTTTAACGAGTGTTTGGATATCGGATGAAAAACTGCTCATTTTTGCATCCTTAACTTCTCCTTCAAAAATGATTTTGTTTGAGAAGAAATATCAAACATTCCACAGTGTTTCATCACCAGATGAAACACCTCGAAGTTTGTCAAAAATACTCCGCTACGCGTCGTATTTTCAACTCTCTTCTCGGTGTTTCATCTGGTGATGAAACACTGCGTCTCATGTTTGATATATTACTTGAACGCGTGAAAACTGATCTGAAAACCTCCGAACCGACTCGGTTGCTGTACGCGTAAAATAAAAATGCAATCGAACTAAAAGTTATTTTTCTAGAAATAGTTTACCTAGACCTATATTCTGACAAAGTTTGAGGATTTTCGATTTTTTCATTTTGCACACCCCCAGGCGATATTTACAGACGGCCGCTCTTTGAGAGAAGCCTACACTGTTTATCCCATTAGAGTGCAGATCAGGTGGAGATAGCGAGCCGGTAGCAGTGCAATATTCCCTGGGTTGGACAGTTATGGGTCCTCTGAGCGGGACAAGAGTTGATGACCGTTGTTCCATCAACTTTGTTCGCCTGGGAAACAAAGAGTTTTACGTTGATGCGGAGCAGTCGCACAGAGACGGGAGTGCCGAACCGCGTAACATCAAAGGTGTGATCGAAAGGTCGAGTGTTAGTGGTGCAGCAGACGGGACATTGCTTTGTGATGAAGACACCAAGCGTCAAATCCGTGACGAAATTTTGCAGGAGCAACTTGAGAGACTTTGGAGCACTGACTTTGCAGATTCTGTTGTGAGTTCGAGTGTGAGTCCTCCGATCGAGGATAAGAGAGCATTAGAAATGATGGAACAGTCACTGAAAGTAGTGAATGGACACTTTCAAGTAGGGCTTCCATGGCGAACAAACCCCCCTTATCTGCCAAATAACAGGCTTACGGTTGAGCAGCGAGCTGCACTTCTAAAGAAGCGTCTACTCAGAGACGAAGATTTTGAACGGGCAAGGGCCAATTCCAAAACACAACACACGAACTCACGATCAGCAAATGTTCTATTACCAAACCATAAAAAAAGTAAATTCCTACAAAGAGCGAAAAAGTAATAGTTTCAATACAGAAAAACTACTTTAAAGCGACTGAAAAATGAAATTAATGAAAAACGATGAAAACGAAGCTGCTTACCAAATGCTGAGGATGACAGGGTTGGTGGTCAGGGCCACCGAGGAAAAAAAATAATCTACTTCGACGAATGTTGTTACGCTAATAGATCCGTAAAACGGGTAATAAATAGGGGCGAGATAACAAGCTATAACGAAATTTGAATATAGCACGTAACAAAGGAGCGTAATTAACAAAACACCGGAGAGCGAAAAGAAAAAGAATACACGATAACAAGTAAGTGAGAAAACCAAAAACAAAAGGAAAAAATTTAGCCCAACAGATTTGTTCTCAAGTACAACGCAACCATGAATGAGTATATTGAAGAAGGCCACGCAGAGAGAGTGCCCACCGATGAGTTGCAACCAGGGGACCGGCCAGTATGGTACTTGCCACACCATCCAGTGACGCACCCCTTAAAACCCGAAAAGGTTTGCGTTGTGTTCGATTGTACTGCCCAGTTCGCACACACGTCTTTGAACCGCCAACTGTTGCAAGGTCCAGATCTAACTAATAATACTGTGGGGGTGCTGACTCGTTTTCGTCAGGAGTTTGTGGGTCTTGTAGCCAACATACAATCTATGTTCCATCAGGTTAGAGTGGAACCCAGGGATTGTGATGCGTTGAGGTTTTTGTGGTGGCCTGGAGGGAATTTGTCAGCAGAGCTAACAGAGTACCGATGGTCAAACATTTGTTTGGGGCTACATCTTCACCGAGCGTTGTGAACCTTTGTTTAAAGAAAACGGCTGAGATGGATAGAGGTTGGAATTCAGAAGTTGCAAATGTTATCAAAAAGAACATGTACGTTTATGACCTGATGAAGTCAACTGAAACAACAGCAGATGCGATCTTGCTTGTACACAAGGTGAAAGAACAGCTTAGTAAAGGCGGTTTCCATTTGACCAAGTGGTGCAGTAATGATAGGAGAGTTCTAGCTGTTGTTCCAGAGCCAGAGAGAGCCAAGTCGGTCATCAACTTGAAGTTGGATCAGCTTCCAACAGAGAGCGCCCTTGGGCTAAGGTGGGACATTGAAGATGACAAATTTGTCTGGGAGGTTTCTGACAAACTCATGAGTGCAACGTCCAAAGTGCCGTTGACAAAGCGAGGCATGGTGGCTGTTGTGTACTCCTTGTTTGATCCACTAGGGTTTATTGCTCCATATATCATGAAGGCGAAACTGCTACTTCAAACCTTGAACCGGAAAGGAATTGGATGGGATGAGCCGGTCAAAGATGCCGAATGTCTGCAGTGGGAGAGATGGATTGATGACCTCGACAAACTGAGAGAAGTTAAGATCGATTGATGTTTTAAGCCAAAAGGATTTGGGAAAGTTCAAGAAACCCAGTTGCATTTGTTCTCAGATGCCTCGCACGGAGGATATTCAGCTGCAGACTACCTCTGTCTGAAGGATGCCACTGGAAAGATACATTGCTCATTTGTTATAGGAAAGGCTCCGCTAGCTCCTGTCAAGGAAATTTCCATACCAAAACTCGAGTTAACTGTTGCAGTTATTTCTGTGAAACTCAGCCCTGCAATCCGCGATGAGCTGGACCTGGTGGTCAACAAGAGTGTTTATTGGACAGATTCCACGTCCGTGTTGAAATGTATCCATAACCAAACCAAGAGATTTCACACGTTTGAGTCGAACCGCTTAACAATTATACATGACGATTCCACACTCCAGGAGTGGAGGTCCGTGAACCGGGACGCAAATCCAGCAGACGGTGGACGAAAATGATTGATATCCCTTGCGTTAAGGACGACGATCCAGAAATCAGAAAGGAAAGTCAAGTTTACACAGCATCAGTCAGTCACGACGTGATGGGAGAGGTCATCAAGTGCTATGCGTCTTGGTGGAAACTCAAAGTAACGATTTCGTGGTTGCTGCGTTACAAGCGGTACCTTAGGAACAAGGCCCTACAACGCACAGGAGGTTCCCAATCTAATTACAAACTAGTTGAGAGAAGAGGTTGCCTTGTGGCTGAAGAGCTCCAAGAGGCAGAGGGTGAAATCTTGCGCTACATTCAAGAGAAGGAGTTTCCGGAAGCACGAATTCTCCAATCAGCGCTTACCATAGGAGCATGTGAAAGGTCGGTGAAGAGGTTAATGAAGGAAGCGGGCGCTTCAGTGAGCAAGCTGAATCCAAGAATCGAGAATGGGCTGTTGCGAGCAGGAGGCCGTATCGGGAGGGCACCCTTGCCATACGATTTGAAACACCCGGTGATATTACCCTACAAACATCATGTCACCGATTTAATAATCAGGGACCATCATCAAAGAATGGGGCACCTAGGCCAGGAGTCAGTTTTGTCGTCTTTAAGGAAGAAATATTGGATTCTGAAAGGGAGGTCAGCAGTTCGTCGTGTGCTGAATAAATGTTCTGATTGCCAGAGGAGAAAGGCTAAGCCAGCAGAGCAATTCAAGGCTGAACTGCCAAAGGAACGCATGACACCAGGCGATCCACCATTTACGTACGTTGGCGTTGATTGTTTTGGTCCCTTAGAGGTTAAACAGGGGAGGTCACATGTCAAGAGGTATGGTTGCTTACTCACTTGTCTAACCATACGCGCCCTTCACATTGAAATCTTACACTCGCTGAGAGCAGATTCTAGGATCAACGCCATAAGAAGATTTATTAGTGTGCGAGGCTGTCCCAAAGAAATCCGAAGTGACAATGGGACCAACTTTGCAAGAGCCGACAAGGAGTTAAGAAATGCTGTTGAACAATGGGATCATCACAAGATCAGTCATTTCTGCACGCAGAGGGAAATCAAATGGAAATTTAATCCGCCAGCCGCGAGTCATATGGGAGGCGTTTGGGAAAGAATGGTTCAAACTACGAAGAGAGTGTTGAAGTCGTTACTGAAAGAGCAGGATCGTGACAGACGAAGTACTTGCTACTGTGATGGAAGAAGCTGTCAACATCGTCAACAGTCGACCCTTGACACGCAACAGCGACAGTGACCTAGATGATCAGCCGTTAACCCCCAACCATTTGCTACATTTACGTCCGACACCAAGCTTGCCACCAGGGCTGTTTTACAAAGAGGATCTTCATTGTAGGCGTGTGAGGAGACAAGCTCAGTACTTAAACATAAACATAAACATAACTTTATTATTTATATAGCGCAAAATACATTGGTATATGATCTAATGCGCTTTAAATTACAATGCTTATAATACCACTACTAATGCTTTACATTACAATACTTATAATTTAAGTGGAGTGTTCTGGCGGAGATGGTCTAAAGAGTACTTACCGACTCTTATGGAAAGACAGAAATGGAGATCACGTAAAGAGAATATCAAGGTAGGAGATCTAATTCTACTTGCAGATGAAAATTACCCTCGTGGTGAATGGCCAATCGCACGTGTTTGGGAGGTAGTTGCCGATGATGACGGCTGTGTACGAGTGGCGAAAGTGAAAACCGCCTCCACGGTAGCTAGAAACCTAGCACTGTTGTGCTTACATGACCTGTCACAAGCTTGTGTCGTCTGGAGATGGAAGACTAAGAAAGATTATTTCGTGAAATGACTGTTTATTAGCTAGAGAATGTGGACTGTTGGAGTCGTTAGCCTTTGTTTGTAAATGAATTTCGGGCAATTCATTTAGGAGCTGGTGTCGCTCCCGACTCCCCTTAGGAGTAATTTGTTTGTTTATCGTCACGTGACTCAAAAACATTTTTGCCTTGGTCGAGTTTGTTATCGTGAGCGAGGATAGTATTTGAGTATATTCTACCTGTATTAGCATTTTGAAGCCGAACAGTTCGGTAAGTTAGCCTTTTTTTCTACATTTGAGAATTGTTATGGTAACTTCGAGTGATATTTACCTCTGTAATTTGCCAGAAAACCACATACAAGTTTCTACGAACTGACTACGAGGTTTGCGCCCAATGTCTTCGCTTGCTGTCGTTTGAGTAAGATTGTTATCTACAAGTTGATACAAGGTTTACATTGTGCAAGTAGTGCGTTTTTGACGTTCAAAATAAAGTTGGCTGAAATTCTTCGAGTCTGCTTCGGACACTACTATTAACACAAATTTCTAATTTAACCTGAACCCTTAAATTAGCAAGATTTGGACATCTAGGGCGCTTTCCATTTACGAAAAAAACCCGGAAATTTCGGTGGTAGCAAAAGTGGAATTTCCGATCGGTAAAAAGTTGTTCCATTTGGTCGTAATCCCCGGTACGTGGCCGGGTGCCCGACCGTGGACCTGGAACTGGTACAAACTACAAAAAACGTCAATGGAACACGACATTCCGTTCGGAAATTCCAACCGGGAAAACGGGACCACCTTTTTCGATTTTCCACTTTTTCTGGGAATTTTCCAGTGGGACGAACCGACGAAACGTGTTCCATTTACTGCCGAACCGGAAATTCCGGAAATTTTGACTAAATGGAAAGCGCCCCTACTTTAGAGATGCTTGTAGTGGAGTGGAGAGGAAAGAAGCCTTTATTAGTGGGCTGCCCGGCGGGCAACACCCAATCAAGATCTACCTTTGGTGTTGTCAGTCGAGGCCGAGGTGGATAATAACCTCTGAGATCTCCATAATTCTTCATATGATACGAAAGCCCAATTCAATAATTGCTTTATTATTCATTCAAAATAATTCCTAGTCTAAAAACATAGCTAAAACATGCTTACCTCCATCGATGTTAACTCATCCCCGATAGTGCACCTTTAGGGTTGTTCAGATCCGCAAATATTCTCCGAATAGCAGATGCTGCCCTTTGAGTTGTCTTCTTGCTGTTCTTGTCATGTTTGTAGCTATTATTTCACCTAGTTCTCACTCTTGAAACGAGTGAAATGTCCACCATTTTTGTTTTCATAACCAAAACAACTGAACCTCGTCCCAAGGTCCTTTCGGTTAACGGTGCATTAACCTGCAAGAAGGCCGCACTTTTGACGTCATCGGTTCATTACACGCAAAATTCTTCCAAATTTGGTTATCAGTAGCTGGTTATCGTAAATTATGCGTGTGCTTTTAGCAAATCAGA